ACACGATGTTTTTCATAGATTTTTTTAAATAGCGAATTAAAAAAATAAATCTAGAAAATAAATTTAATTAAATAATATGATAAAAAAAAATAAATATAAAAACGGATATTAATTAAAAATCTTATAAATTTTTGATCATTGCGGTGCCTATATTGATTATATACGATATCAATTTTAAATTTGTAAATCATTTTGGCGGAGATGCGGGACCTTTTTGCCTGAACAATTACGTAATCAACTGACCGTTACAGAGCAAATTCATTTATCTTATTTTTTTTATTAAGGGGAATAGATTTAATCCGCTATTAAAAAATTTGCAAAAAAAGTCATGTGCTCATATAATTGTCACTTGCCATTAGCATAGCATTACAGTACATAATATACTGTACATAAGTCCACTAAGAAATATATACTAATTCATAAATTACATAAAGCATGCATACCACAAGATTTTTATATAGTACATAATATACATAATATAGTATTATTTTTCATAAATTAAATCTAACTATTAACACCCACCCCTAAACATTCTGTATCTCTATATTTAATCCAATATCAATATATTTAACCCTCTTTGCTGAAGGAGTGAATTCTATTTCACTCAAACGTGACTTGACAGCTTTTCTAGGCAGACGGGGTAAAGATGCTAACAATGCTCCATTTCGTGTGTCTGTTGTCCTATTAAGCAGTATATTAAGTGTCACTCCATTATGATATACATTTGTTCTCAGGTACGTCACTAACTTCAGAACACTTACAATATCGGCTTGTTGATCTTCAGTATGAAGTTTGAAAGTAACACCATTATTCTCATAAGTATAAATCAAAGCACTTTTTGTTTCATCATAGACTACCTTCATCGAACTCAAATAAATGGTTGTCCCATTAACCAAGCCGATATGCAAACAATTCGCATTCATCTCATCCTCTGATAGATAATATGCAACTGCAAGCATTCGATTGTATTCAAAAGCCGTTTCTGCTACCACCGCTACTGCATCCTTGTGTACTGCAAACCCATCATTCTCAAATTCAGTTATAAAAAATGGAAATTGTTGATTAGCACCATTAAAGATAACAGCGGCAAAATCAGATCTTGATGATCCACATCCACCATTTCCTGGAATTTTATGATGGTATTTCCAATTCACACCAATCTCTTCTGAACTAATAAGAAATGTGTCAGAAAATATTTTTGCCCACATTTGTGATTTTATGTGATTTTCTGACTAGGCCTCGGCAGGGAATCGATGAGTAGAGAATAACAGAAGTGATGGCTATTAATGCTATTTGTACATCGATGATGCAGTGTTCATTCTTATGAACTCCAAATAATCTTGCTAGCCATTGTCGTATGTTAGAGTTTACATTATCTACAATCTCTTTAGTAATTAAATTATATACAATTATAACTGCATGTCGAAGATTCCTATTTTGAGTTTCCATAAGAACAGATTTCAATAAATTCATATTAACAGCTGGTCTGGATAAATTTGGACAGAATTTGGGTCCCTTAAACAGAGAATAATCCACAACAGACCATTTGAGCATAAGAGATAAATTTTGAGCGCGTTGCAATTCTTCTTCTATATGATGATTTCGCATTTCTTCGAGAACTCTTCTATATGGTAATAGCAATTTAGCAATGTGTGGCTCGAATGTTAGTTTCTCAATAGATGAATCCTCATCCTCAATGTCATCATCGAAAATAGGTAGATTAT